ATGAATTGACTAGTTTGGATTGAATGTATGCCGCTCACGTATCTTACGTTCATTCCACTGATCGACTCGACTACATAGCAAACTCGAGTACCGTAAGACTTGCTTGATTATAATTTGAAGATCCTTCTTCGATTCACATTTACATTTGGCTTCAACTATATTCCAATATATAAGGATTGATATGATGGGTCTTCTAGTTTGTTGCAATCTTCTTTTACCTTACAGTTGGCATGATCTTATTTTCGCAGTTTAGTTATGTTTTCAGGCTGGCTTGACAGATTGCACTTACTGCTTCCTTTGCCATTGTTACCGAGTGTTCTTCTAGCATCTAACTGTTGATAGTTATGTTCATAGACATTTCCCGGCATCGTCTGTACACAGCACCTTCTTTAACTTCGGGCTACAACACATTAAAATGCCAGAAGGAAGCAACCTTCTTCTTGTTGAATTGCTGTTGAATATATCCTCTCCTATCCTTTGATACTATTTTAATCATAATTATATGTCCTAATGTGGGATTTCGATGGGACTTTTATTCTTCACGGTTTTTCGAGACTGGAATCTGAGAGGCATAATGTCTAAAAGAATCTCGATAGCTAGAAGGGACATCATGAAATTTTTGGAGCTTGCGATTCATAGGCTGCACAAGGTCGAACCAACCTTGTGGGGTCTCTGGATTGAATAAACGATGATGATCAAGTTGTAAATATTTTGTCATTCTCTTATGCTTCTGACAATGAATTTTATTTATTCTTCATTGAAACGAGGTTGGAGGTGAAAAATATCTCAGAAGAAAGAAATGAAAATGGGAATAATTTTTATTTCAGGAAACCAACAGTACATTTTGTGGGGCAATATATGGACGAAATAGACGGCAAGTTCGGAGTCAAATAAACTTATCGTGTATTGACAAAGCACTCAACGCTGAAGATCAAGGAAATATTGTAGGCTATAGTTAAGAAATATTAATGGACGTGGAAACTTTCGTGGACAACACTTCATAAGCGTGAATACGAATTTTGTTCACTCGATTTCGTTTCGAGGACTGGTAATTAGATTTTTCCTCAATGATATGAATGGGTCTCACGTTTGCGTTGGATTCTACACCGCCTTGCTTCCCTAAAGATTTTCATTGATAATGGAATGAAGCTTCGACCTCGCCCAGGTCTCATCAGCATCCCCGACGGGACTCGAATCCAGGTAGTGCACCGTATGATCTCGACACGTTAAGCATTACGTAACACTCCCATGAGTGCTATTAGGTCGGCTCGAAATTCAATTTCAAGGAAGCCTAGGTCTTTCCCACATTACTTTCTGTAGTGTGATGAGAATTTCTCCTATAGAGTAAGGCGGTGTAAAAGCGATGGAGACATGAGGCATCTACTGTCATTGTGAAAAATTCAACTTCCAGTCCGTCGCCTAAAACTAAATAAGATAAACACAGTTCTTATTCAAGATATACTGGTATT